GAGCTCCTGCAACGTTGCAATAGCGCATTCGTCCAAAATAGATAAATATTTATAATACTCATTTCAAGCTAACTTGATAAAGTAGGAAATTCGAGGCGCGTTTACGAAAAAACATTAATATGTTAGCCTCTATCGAACTAGTGCGATATGCTCAGGATGGACGCAGAGAGAGATTAAAAAGCATTACATCTAACCTATAACACTAACAAAGACTACAGTTACGGAATATAGCCAATATATCAATCAATTCCGATTAGGAACAAAACCTCAATAACAGTCAAACCCTTCATTCCAGAAATGGTACACCCATTTCCTCTCACGCGCAAAAATTCTCTTTGTGACGGTATTTTAGCTTTTTTAGCCAAGATCAATTATGATTGCAATAAAGGCAGCATGAGCATTGAAACAATCTGCTGTTGGACGCAGATGGCTTCGCAACAGATGAAGCTCATATAGCTTACCAGCGGAATATGTAATTAGCGGCAAATCCAAATGCTTCAAGGGATCGAGGCTCAAAGCCTTATCCTCAACAAATATAGCTAAGCAATATGAGTATTACTTGTGCTTTTCGTTGAAGAGAGATTTGTTCCCTTCAAATTTCAGTAAAGTTGCAATTGCTGTATTATGCACTAATGAGTTAAATAATACCATGAAACGGAAAATTGAAGAAAAAACTTAAAAGAGACCACTGACGCTTTTCTTGTGCCGCTGAAGTGTTTCCACGAGTTTTTCATTCAACTGTGCAGCTGCTAGTGCTTTTATAGAAACCTGCTCTAGCTCTTTTAGTGTCTCTTTGATTGCTTCCTCATCGTTTTCTAAATAAATTTGTCTACTTCTTTAATGAAAAGCTATATTCAAAAAACTCAGTACCATCATCTTCTGGCGTATTCTTTTCTGGAATATTCTCATTCTTCTCCTCTTTCATCTTTTCAGCGTCCTTCTTTTCAGATGTCTCCTCTGCCTTCTTTCCTTCAAGTTCCTCAGCCACATCAAGAGTTGCTTGATTGTGAATGTCCTATGAGCTCATATATCGTGCCTATACTACATAAGCAGGAGCAAAAAACAAACCACAATGCTCTTGAGAACTCCTAAAAACTGGTTTTCTTGAGCGGTCATCATGTCGAAGGCTTCAATGAGTTTGGCCATGAGAGCTTTATCGGGCTGAAATTGCGCGAATAGTCCCAAATCTGTCCTGGGCTGCTATGCCGTCTAATCATTTAAAGTTGGATGAAATGCTCTGTCATCCGCTATTTCTCAAATTGGTAGTGATGCAGTGTGGAATATATTGGAGTTACTATTTCGAATTAGTACGATAATACAATCGGTATTGTTAGATTTGAAGCAAGGGTACCATATACGAAAAAGTGCAGGCATACACTCCCACAGATCCTCCTTTAGCATTTCACAAAGCTTCGCAAATCTACTCTGAATATTTTTTGCACAACGAAAGTCCGTATGATTTATAGAACAGCCGTAGAATATGCGTGCTATCGCTGGTAGCCTCCTTACATTACACTTCTTTGCTTCAAATGGTCTACAATTACGCTATATGTAAAATTCAACCGTATAACCACGAGATTAGATTTAGGTTCCATAAGTTTGATGTTATTGGAGATAGGTGATTTCGAGGAAACACTAGAGCATTCTACCAATAGATCAAACCACATTTCTACCAGCTGTAATATCACTATATGACAAGCCCAGCCAGATAGGAT